GAAGAAGATGATCCCTTGTCGATCAAAATTTAGGTATCATCTATTTCTATAGTTGACTCGTGACCTTTGTTTGACCTTTATTAATTGTTTTTGCCTAATTATTAAGTTGAAGTTGTTTAGTCAATATGTTTTTAAGAAGAGTTAAATCATTGTGTTGATTGTAGGTATAAAAATAAACAGTTGTGTTATTGAAAAATATAGATATTTGTTTGCACTCAACATGTTCGATGAAATGCCTCAATGAGAAATATCACATGTTAACTTCACTTTGACTTCATGAATGATGAACCAATTCTAATTTAGTATTCTGAAGATTTTTTTTGGTTATATTTTGAGAAATCTAGGAGATATTTTTATTTGTGGAAGACTGTAGCCTTTTGAGCATATAATATAATGTCAGAAACTAGTTGTCTTTTACAAATAAATATTCATAATACAATTTAAATGGATTACTGCAGCCTTTTGAGCATTTGGTATGCTTCTATTTTCTTGGTACCCAAGGCCTAACATATGCTCTAATGTTGTTAATGATCAGTTTTTTCTAAGCCATTTTTACAGGTAATTTATGAATTTGTAGTTGTTTGCTCATCTCTGTAAGAATTAAGAAGCAAATTGTTTAATGTATATCAGTTTTGTTCTTTTTTTGAATGAAAACTTTGTTTTCTTGTTTCATTTCCAATTTTCCTCTATCAAACATGCATTGCTGGTTCTGTGGTTTTACCTGCAACAAGTTTCTATGCTCTCAACAATTCTAGCCATATTCATGATTTTGTATCCTCCTCAAGTAACTGCAATTTGGAATTAAATTTTGTATTACTTAATGGCAAAAAAGTTTGTTTTCTCTAACATATTATACAGAGTAACTGGTTTGGATACCCTATTGAGTATGATGGAGTGTTAATTTCCTTTTGTACATATTGATCTTGATATCATTCTAGTTGTTCGAATTTTGGGATAGTTCTTTTCACAGTTTTGGTTGTGTTTTATGTTTCATTTCCTGTAGCTTCATTGAGAGTTTGTTTTGGGATAATGCAGAGAATATTGAGTTGTAACATTTCTATTAGTCAAGAATGGGGAAGTCTCCTAGAAAGTGGATGAAGACTGTGTTTTTTTGGGAAGAAGTCATCAAAATCTAATCTCTCAAAAGTAAGAAAAATGTTACTTTTTGTACATCATTAGTCTGTTCTCTTAGTATGTGATCCTGATGTCATCTAATTCTTGTAGGATGCTACTTCAGAAATAACAATATCCATCACTGGTAAAACACCATTAAACAATTTTGGTGCTGATTCAATGATCATCTCAAGTCCAGTGTGCCCTCTAATTGATTCAAGTGATCATACAAAACTTGAAAAGACCTTAAGTGATAACTCAATAACCGATTCACTTGAAAATGATAATGCAAATGATTATACATAACTTGTATAATTGATTGTTGCAATTAAACCGTAGAGTAGATGATGAGTTTGATAAATGATAATGTAAATAGGAGCACAATAACCAAGGTACATGAATATTATTATTATAATCTTTTTATTTAATAAATGCAGAATCTTTACAAACAGTCTAATATTTATATTATTTTTTGGACATAAACTAATTATATAGTGCACTAATAATCATCATCTGCTTCTTTAGTATTCTATTTTTGAATTTGTGTTTTGGAATTCAGCAAATCTCATATCGTTATAGAAAGAAATCACATGTAATTCACATATGGATCAAATGTGATTCACATGTAAATCATATGTAATTAACATGTAAATCACAAGTAATTCACATGTAAATCACAAATGATTTACATGTGAATCACAAGTGATTCACATGTCAATCACAAGTGATTCACATGTGAATCACATGTAATTCGCATATAAAATTACATGTAATTCGCATATCAAATCACATGTAATTCACATGTAAATCACAAGTGAATCCCATATGAGTTACATACGAATCACAAATGATTCACATATGAATTACATGTGATTCACATGTAGATCATAAGTGAATCACATAAGAATTACATGTGATTCACATGTAAATAACATGCAACTTACATATGAATTACATGTGATTCACATGTAAATCAGATGTAATTCACATATGAATCACATGTAAATCTTATATGATATATATATATATATATATATATATATATATATATGTGTGTGTGTGTGTGTGTGTGTGTGTGTGTGTGTGTGTGTGCATTTTTGTGAGTGTTCTTGCATTAATCAAATTTTTTTAATTTTCTTGTAGATTTTGAAGAATTTTTGGAAAATATTGAAGATATGAAAAGTGACGAATTAAAGAAAATATGAAAATCTTGATATGAAGAAATAATAACATTGTGAGTCTTCGTACCATTTTTTTTTATATTTTATTTTGTATCGAATAAAATATTTGTACTATTATGTTTATAGATTGATTAATAAAAATGAGATTTTTTATTATTTACTTAGGAATAGTATAGTATAAGAAATATGAATATATTGTTTTGAAAAAAATATGCATATATGCATCTAAAATATTGATTTTTTTTGTTAAAAAATTAGATTTTTTTAAAATATTCTAGTTTTTTTTAATAAATTTATTGATTTTTAAAAATTCATATATATATTTTTTAAAAATGCAACTTTATTAAAAAAAAATTGCAGTTTTTTTTAAAAAAAAATATAGCTTTTTTTTTTTTAAAAAAGTTGCACTTTTTTTTTGAAAAAAAATTGCAGTATTTTAGAAAAAAAAATGCAGTTTTTTTTTGAAAAATTACAATTTTTTTTTTAAAATTTACTGTTTTATTAAAAAATTTGGAGTTTTTTCAAATACAATTTTTTTTTTCAAAAAAAATTGCAGTTTAAAAAATAATCAAAATTTTTAGAAATTTATGCTTTCCAAAAATACTAAAAAATCTGTAGTTTAAAAAAAAAAAAAAAATTATTTTTTTTATAAAAAAATCCAAAATTTTGTTTTATAATGTTAATTTAAGAGTTTTTTATTAATACTTCCAATAACAAAAAAAAATAAGTGGAACTGCTACGATGACGATCATGCCCTTAATGATTTTATTTTCATCTAACGTTTCACCTTTACTTCTTAGATTTTCGGGAAACCATGAGTTCTCAACCGATCTCATCTCTCTCTCTCTCTCTCTCTCTCTCTCTCTCTCTATATATATATATATATATATATATATATATATATATATATATATATATATATATATATATATATATATATATATATATATATACCGATGTAAAAAAATAAGCATCCATTTACATTCCTATATATTAATTGTCGAAAGATTAGAGACTGTTATTCTATTTTTGCTTCTGATAATTCAAAGTTCGTGTTTCAGTAGCCATGCATTAGATTCCATATATATGAACCTTCCTTCCAATAGCATTTACTCACACATGGAGCATATGGTCTCACTTACAGGCATGCATCTAAAGGCAGATGATAGCATAGAATATCAGGTGGAATAGGCATTTATAGGCACTTGATTGATATCTTTAACTATTGTGGTTTTCTTGTCTTTATGACCAAGTACTATGTTGCTTGGCATGGCTTCATAAACATGGAGACGTTTTCACACCACCTGTTGTTTTCGTATATATTATTTTATTTCTTTGAGTAACTTGACAGTTTTACTTCTTACATTCTCGACTTTTATTTATGTTTGTTATAATAATAATATTATTATTAAATTAAATGCTAGTCGTCTTGTCCCAATCATCATGCATGATCGACTCGTAATTTTCGTAACTAAATCTTTGTGAATTTGACCTTTATTATATTTTGATCATCTTCCGCAATGTATTAAATTTAATAGAGTTTAATAGATTTATATATCATCATTTTATCTGCTATAGAACTTTATATTAATTGTTCTACAATGCATTAGAGTTCAATGTAATATATATTTAATAGTTAAAAAGTTTGATTTTTCCTATTGAAGAGTCAATGATCACTTAATTTCATATCCATTGAATGTCACTATGGTATCTTACAATTATAAGGTTTAATCCATTGAATGTCAATTAAGCATGATATCTCATTCAATTCTCCCATTAAATTTTGTAGTGTGGTTGCTCTTATATCTGCATGTCATAATATTGAATTGAATTAGGAGTGTTCGCGGAGCTGTTTGTTACGATTTCGAACAAAAACTATAAACTGCACCAACATGTGTGGTTTGAGTTTTTAGAAAACCACAAACCACACTCCAAAGGTTTTAAATCACATTATGCGGTGCGGTTTGGTACGGATGTTATATGCAGTTTTTATATGGTTTATGCGGTTTGATAAACATCTGTATTTTTGATATTATGTATTTTTAGTTTTGCCTGTATTAAACTAAATTGAATTACTTATATTAGAGATTAGTACATAAATTTTATATATAAATATACTAGCTGAATGAATTAATATAAATTGCTTTACCCTACATTTTAACCATTCCGTCATCGTTCCATTCCATTTTGTGAATTTAGACAAACCAAATAAATAACTTATAACAAATTTGCTTAAGATTTTAGGTCGAAAATGAATCCTAGGTTTAGTTAGTACTGCAGTCAACCCACAACTAGACCGAGAATGAAGAACTAAGTTTTATTATGGTCCGACCGGCACACACTCAAACCTGGATGCCATAGTCAAAAATCTAGAATGCTTAAGTATTTATGGATTGATAGTTAGTACACCTAGTTAGGAAATTAAGACGAAGTCTACGACTAGAAGATGATCGGATCAGTAGTACTAATTGACTCCCCGAAGACTAGAGTCGTATAAAGTTATATATTGAGATAAGTTAAGGATTTACATCGTAGAGTTCTTAAAATCAAGTTTGCCTTACTACTCAGAGAGTTACGTTCGTAGCTCAAGGATTATGATCTAGACAACGCTTACCCGACCACCCTTAGGAGAGAATCACAGTAGATCCAGTACTATCTACTATATACCTATTAATCTATAATTATACATATTACAGTTTTACTCTTATGTCTCAAAAATATCTAACCCTTTTGGATGTCTTATGTAGGGCAGTCGGAGCAGGCGTGATCATTAGGAGTTCATCCATGGAGGATATATGGGAATGGTTTTCTCATCCTTCCCCAGAGGGAGATCAGGTCTAGGAGGGCGATTAGGACGTGGCATAAGGGCCATTATGAAACAATTAATAATTCACTTCATTTTCAATTAGGCCTTGCTCTAGCTTCTTTAGGGGTTATAAATTCTTTGGTAGCTCAAAACATGTACTCTTTACCTGCTTATGCATTTATTGCACAAGACTTTACTACTCAAGCGGTATTATATACTCATCACCAATACATTGTAGGATTCATCATGACAGGAGTGTACCACAGTTCCTAGTGACGGAGGAGGCAGAGGACAATCCAAGGATGCCAAGGCCACCTACCCCCAATGATACAGAGTTTATCAAGGATGATGAGCCCTATGAGGACAACGAGCCACTAGATGAGAATCTGCATGACGAGTAGGCAGGAGGAGATCCAGGTGACAGCTCACCATATCCCGACTCATCATACCACGATGATGGACATCCTGAGACTTAGGAGGAGAACACTCTTGAGTTATAGCCATCATCAGAGTCTCTAGCCTCAGCCCAGCCTTCCATTGTGTATGCTTCAGAACCCCGAGTGATCTACACCCCTAGAAAATCCATTCCCATTCCATCTCGAAAAGAGCAGCCTCACCCAAATCATCCCCAAATCCATACAAGAAACCTTGCCCTACCCATAAATGGACACTTCAAGTGGATGAGTGGATCCAGGAGGACAACATTGGCCACTATGAGATTGGAGAGTCATCCCAGGCTGTGAGACACAATCTTATCCCCAAGGATCCCACAGATTGAGCGATTTCAGTGTTATTTCCATGTGTGCAACAACATGAGGATCACATAAATTGATTAGATTAGTATCACGACTCATTACGGAGGGAGGTTAGGATATTGACCGACACCGTCAGAGGTTTAGATGAGAGGAGAGATCATGATGAGAAAAGAATCCTCCATGCTTATGATCACCTAGAGGAGAACCACTCTAAAGTGCAACATCAACAAATTAAGATTGAGAGTCTCGATCAACACATGAGAGAGGCGAAGTTAAGATTATTGGTCTCAGAAATAGGAGCGACCACTCTGGAGGCAATGATTGGGTGCCTCCAACAGCAGTTAGCCCAGATAGTGATTTGGTTGGTAGTTTACTTTAGGTTGTGGTAGATAGTTCTAGCCTTAGGTTGCTAGGATCTATGATATTTTTAGTTTTGAGGAAAGGAATAGCAAGATAGCCGATATAGGAATCTGCTACTTCTTTTGTGTAGAATAGATCCTATTCCTTTTCAAACCACACTTGTATACAGTCTTCAGGTTATGATAAATTGATGAAAAAGGTTTATGAAAATCTATGAATGTTTTTATAATCTAAATGTTTGTGTGATAATTGTTTGTTTTGATTGCTTTAAATAAGTTAACCCTTCTAACTTAGCAAGGTAAAATAACATCTAGCTTGTACCTTAAATTTAGAATGATGCCTCACACTAGATGTAACCCTGGAACGCCTGAAAGGAATCCTGAGCCAATGAGCTCACCCGTGATTGAGGCATTGATCGCCCAACGTGTAGCTGATGCCATAGCGAGTCTAGAACCCCTAGGAATGTAGGATCCGGAGGCAATGGTGGTGAAAGTTTGCAAGTAGACAATTAGGTTCCCACTAGAGCCTGTTCATATAAGGATTTTATGAACTGTAAGCCAAAACCCTTCTATGGAAATGAGGGAGTTGATGGGATGACCAGATGGATAGAGAAGATGGAATCGGTCTTCAAGATAAGTTTCTGCCTTGAATACTATAAAGTCAAATTCGCCGCCTACACACTCGTAGATACAATATTGAGCAGGTGGAAAAGTTACACTAAGACCATGGATATAAATGTAGCAAACGCCATGTCTTGGGATGAGATTAAGCAACTCATGATTAGAGAATACAGTCCATGCGAGGAGATACATAAACTGAAGCAGGAGCTGTGGAATCTAATGATGTAGGAAGTTGATATTGACACCTATAAAAATCATGAAGCAACTCATGATTAGAGAATACAGTCCACGCGAGGAGATACATAAACTGAAGTAGGAGCTGTGGAATCTAATGATATAGGAAGTTGATATTGACACCTATAAAAATCGCTTAAATGACCTAGCCACCTTGTGTCCCGGGATGGTTACCCTGATGGAGAAGAAGACAGAGAGGTATATTTGGGGTTCCTGTAAAACCCGATCTGATGTATCAATCGAAATCACTAGAATTGGTGGGCAATCCCAATCAAGTGAGCACCATAAGTCGTAATATGCAATAAGAACACAATATCAAATCTTCAATGCACACTATATTGCATATTAGTCTGGTACATAAGATTCTCAATTACTCTCGGTTCTCTATATCTCTCTAAAACTTGATCTCAACTTCTTAGAATGACCAAACTTTAACACGGCTGAAATAACACTATATATATATATATATATATATATATATATATACTACCTAGACATAATTACAAAGGCCCAACCCAATACCCAACCAAAAACATTAGTAAGCCCACTAAAATCACATGGTGCTTTCGGTCCAAACATGTGATAACAGTCAAGTCAAAGTCAACTAAAGTCAACAAGTCAAATCGGTCAACTCGTCTAACCCTTGTATGCTAGGGTTTTCATTATGTTTCTTATTGAACAAATCGCACTCTTAATACAAAGTATCACTTAGAGTTTACACGTGTTCGGGAACTCTAAACCCTAATCAGGGCAAATGATGAAACTACTCGATAAAACATTATTTTTTAACCCTCGGGGGCATATAACCATCATAACAAGACTTAACGAGGTTTACGAACCTTGAATTACAAAGCCAAACACTTAATAGAAGTCTCTCTTAATCCCTTTCACTCTATCTCTCCTAAATCTCTCTTTGTATGAGAAATCTCTCCAAGAAAGTGAAATCTCTCCCAAATCTCTCTCTATATGAGAAATCTTTTCAAGAATGTGAAATCTCTCCTAAATCTCTCTGTGTATGTGACAACCCGAAATTTCCATTCTGAACAAACCATATCAAGCCAATAGATGTAGATCAGTTACAATGAAAATTCATGCTTTGAGTATAAGTTTTACAGTTTTCAGGGTTTACACTTAAGAAGATATTAGGAGACTGGTTGCACTAGGGTTTTGTGCAACACTATTATTCCATTACTCTAGGACATTAGAGTTCGTTCCAGGAATAAAAATATTTTCTGCCAAAAATCTCAAGACTATAAATAGAATTCTGAACCAAATTGGTTCATTAGTTGAATTCCAATTAGAGAAAAGCCAAATTCTCTCTCACGGATCTTCGGGTTTTTATCCCAAATTGTGAGTAACTCTTTCTAGTAGTGTTAGAAAGCTTTAAATGTGTTCATAACATAGATTACATAGCTAAATCATCTGATTTAGGAGTTTACTTCCCAAGGTGTTCTTGAGCGGTAAACTCCCGAAACCGAGCCTAGATTGTCCCCCGTGCTTAGTAACTACCTTGGACATGTATAAGAGTGTTTTAGGTACAAGAAATCAGCCAAGAAACACCAAAAGATAGGAGTTTACGGCCCAAGAAAATCTTAGGCTGTAAACTCCCTTGAAACATGCTCAAATGGTGTTTTTAAGGCACCTAAAGCTTGGACTTTATGTTAGACAAATACCCTAAAGTATTTAGGACCTAGAAAACATAAGGAAAGCACAAGTGTTGAAGAGTTTACGGCCAAGAGTAATTCTTGGGCCGTAAACTCCCATAAAGGGGTCAAAGGACACCCTAAACACTTCCTTAGGCCATGAGACAATTTGGGCATGTACCTAGATGAGTTATGGACTAGCTAAAACATTTAGAATCCCATGTGTGAGGGAGTTTACGGCCCAAAATGTTCTATGGCCTTAAACTCCAAGAAATGGTACCAAATGGTGCCATAAACCCTCCTAAAGCCAAGAACTAAAGCCTAGACTTGTTCCTAGAAATGTTAGAGACTTGAAAGCACCATAATCACCCTTCCAAGGGAGTTTACGGCCGTAAACTCCAAGGGAAAAGGATCTTTGGGCCGTAAACTCCCCAAAGGAGTCAATATGGTGCCCAAACACTTGTATAGGCCTTGAAACAATTCCCACTAAGGTTGTAGTAATTGAAAGTACCATCCCAAGCCTTGGTTGGGAGTTTACGGCTAGGAGCTTACTCTCTTGGGCTGTAAACTCCAATGAATATGGTCTTTTGACCTTAAACTCCAAATAGGGGCATTGCACTCCTTTGTTGCAACCCTTTAGCCTCCTAGCACTTGACCAAAAGTGTTATCCTCGCGCTTAAATGGTATTACTTGTATAATTAGTGTTATAATCACTAATTATTTATATACATATGTTTTCATATGTAATTCGGATCATTGTGTGTGTCTAAGTCTCCACTTGACACCAAACACTTGTCCGATCCTTCCGTACGATAACAGTCTGTTCAATTCCAGTCACTTACTGCAGGTGAGTTCATACCCCTTAACTAATGTTTTAAAATATTTTTAAATGTTTTATGGGGGGGGGGATACAAGTAGAATCATGCTACTTATTATGTCAATCACATGTGATTAGTAAGTAGGATTATATTACTTATTACATCAATCACATGTGATTAATATACAGCATTCAAATGATTTGGCTACTTATTAGCCGTTTCACCAAACAGTTTCCTTCAAATGACTTTTTATAAACATTTTATATGTTTTAAACTCCTTTTTACACTGTACAGCTTACTCCGTACATTACCTTTCAAACTTATTTACAACTGTGTTTTAAACAAATGTTTCTTTATACTTAAACTGTTTTATTAAACTTATGCCTTCAAATTGTTTTATAGATTGACATCAAGTCGATCTTTTCTTAAAATAATACTTATATTTCAAACGTCTTACAAAACTTATTTATGCTTTTATATTATAAATTGCATGCCTCTATATGTATAGTTATATAAGAAATGTTTAAAAGACTTAGGAAGGCTATCCACCCTATTTCCTTTTCGCACCTTGAGATGTGGTCTGGTGGGATATTGGGTATTCATCCGAAAGTCGTTTAAATATTAGTTATATATCATGTGTACATATATAGTCATAAAAGGTCCTTCCAGTTCTTCCTATGCCCTTGGGTAGCAAGGGTATACATCCATGTCCATACGTACCACTTAGATTACTAGAAAGCTACCATATGGGTAGTTCAGGATGATACTAGAACCATTACTAGAACGCGATATCATACAATGAGTCAGTTCATTCTGTTGGGTTTTGAGCATTCTAACACTCCTAAGTGTACATGCAACCCTAAATACCTTGGATCTATGTTTTCTCTATTATACATGCAAATATGAACATCCGAGGTATTATCCTAATCTAGCATACAAAACTATCAATATAACAAGATAGAATACATACCTCTTTAATGTAGAATATCTTCATGAAGCTTGAGTGCCTAGTGCCCCAAGTGTGACACCTCAAATGGTTCACACAACACCAAATACACTTGGAATAACTTGAGAAAAATTCTACACTTCATGAAAATCGGCTAGCCCTCTCTAGAATAATACTAGTCCAGATTTTTGTCAAGAATAAAGATCTTTATATAGTGTTACAATTAGGTTAAACCCTAATTGTCACGACTTTCCATTTCCTTGGATCCATGGGTTCAAATACACCATGGAGCATCCATGGACCATCCTATGGGTTTTAGCCCAACTTGATTATCCATGGAGCATTAGCCTACTATACAAGTATGGATGATTTACACAATCAACCCATATATTTAATTAGTCTTCTTTTGATCACTTAATTAATCCTAAATTAATTCTTGATCAATACTAATTAAATAATCTCACTATTCTTATTATCAATATACTAGAACTTATAATATATTAATAACCATAAGTGTCTTATTTCTCTCATTATAGTCTATCCAAGTGCATGATGCCATGCAACCCAAATGGACCATGCCGGGTCGGGTCGAGTCTTACCAATTATAGTTCTGGACTTAGACATTAATCCAACACATTCATGAGTCGATAATTTCTAGAACTTTTCAGTACATTACATATACAACTATACTAGGATGAGAACATATACAGCTATACTAGAATGATTACATCACTATACTTGCTAGATAGAGAGAACACACATTATAGC